CACGGTCTGTATTATACAAGACGGAGGTGACTTATTCTAAGTACCATGAGAGCATTGCTCTTGTAATTTCTAACACTTCTATTCTAGTGTATAAACTACAATACTTTGTGAGTACTGTCCTTAACATGGAAAAAAAGGTGATTGACGCCTTCTCCTAGGATGTGCAGTTGTGGACGCAACACGTGAAAGACTTTCATTGATATCATCAAGCCATCATGTAGTAGTGAATTTGAGATAAGTGACGCTTTATGGAAGAATGGAATGTCTTGATTTACCGTGCACGATTCCCGTGAATTCCGACCCTTCTATGCAGTAAAAACCGCAGCAAGGTCAGAATTCAGGCCAGAAAAACAGAATAAGCAGGAAACCTAACATGATGTGAAATCTGATGGTCGATTGTGCTCATTGGCGCTAGAGGAAGTGGTCACGATAATTCCTATGGGGAAGATACGGAGCATTACGTAATGGAGTGGATAGGGGACCTGCCTAATGATACACAGGTAGTGTTGCAGTGGCAGTGAAGTGACAAGGCACCGAATTCCACTTTCCGATAGCAAAAACAAAACCGTATCGATGTGGAATCGGTCAGTGGCAGCGTGCTTGATACAGCAGCGCTCAAAAGTATTCGGCCAAATGCTTCTTCGGCCGTAGCTTTCTTTCTGCCAGATCAAATCAATTTATCTTCTGATATGTTTAAGAGGCAAACCTTCCTCACTTAGTATATGTATTATTGTCGAGTGGGAGAAAGAATTCGGGAAGAAAAATTTTTACACTAGAAATTCTCGAGTATGACCGATTTCCGAGTGAATTTCAATTTGTTGTAAAATGCTTATAATTTAGCAAAACAATCTATCTCATAATTGAAGACATTGAGCAGCTTCAATACTTTCTTGGTAACCTTCTGGAGTTGTTAAAACGTTGACAAGCTTTCAGTGTGGAATCAATCACTGGTTGCACATTCTATTGGTACATCCTTTCAATTTTCCCTCAAGGTTGACAAGTTTTTTCTCCATATTCCTCGCTCTTTTTCCTACCGAACGTTTTCTTAACCTTTTCCATATTGTTTCGATGACTGAATTGGTTGCTCTGTTAGAAGAACGCCATGCTGGCGAAACCACCCCTTCTCAGTGGAGGTGCGATGCTTTTGGTCGCTCCATTGCTGGAAGAAAAAGACTTAAGCGTGCAGTGTCATACTTGCGGAGACCTAACGTCCGTCTGCCTTCACCGCTCAGAATCGCGTTAGATTGTTTTGTGAAGTGGTGGGAGATGGAACGGGTTCACGCACTTCTGAACTTGAATTCCCATAGCGCTCCAACGTTATTTGGAGCGACGAGAGTGAATTTATATTGTTCTTCGGCAAGAGCAAAAGGCATGTGTGGGGTCCTAAAAGAAAGCGTTCCGATCCGAAGTATGAGCTCCCATCCTTGAAACTAGGCGAAGGTTGGTAGGCCGCAGAAGAAGCACTACCGCTGGAGAGGATTCGCAAACTGGTGAAGGCAGACGGATGCAGACTGTGTATCTACATGTGTGGCACTGCATGCTAAAGTCTTTGTCTTCTAGCAATGGAGCGACCAAGAGCACTGCACCTCCACTGAGGAAAGGTGGTTCCGCCAGGATGGCATGGAAAAAGAGCCAGGAATATGGAAGAGAAACCTGTAAAATTTGACGAAAAATGGAGGTTGTCCTAATAGACAGTGCAATCATTGATCGATTCTATACTCAGACGTGACGAGGTTTTAACAAATCTAGAAAATTATCAAGAAAGTATTGAATCTGCTCAACCTTCGCTGTTATGCGATAGACTATTATAATGAATTTTAAGCTTTTTTGCTCTGTTGGGTTGTAAGCATTTTACATTAAGGTGAAATTCACTTGGAAATCGGTCATACTCGAGAAATTCTAGTATGATATTTTTTCTTTCTGAATTCTTTCTCCCATTCAACAATAATACAATTACTGAGTGAAGAAGGTTTGCCTCCAAAACATATCAAAAAACGAACTGATTAGATTTGGCAGAAAGAAAGCTATGGCCGAATACTTTTGAGCGCCACTGTATGATACCATTTACGTTATCGCCCTGTTTCACTCTGGAGTGCATCTCTTATCAAGCAGCCGCACCTTCTTATCTCATCATATCTTATCTTCCATAGGCTTACATTCGTCCAACAATTAGCTATCGCTTACCTTATCCCTACTATATATGAAGCGCTATGTCTGTCTGTCTGTCTGTCTTCTGTCTGTCTGTCTGTGTCACCGAATTCATAGCACGCGTCACAGCAGTCGTCAGGAGCTGATTTTGGAATATGATGTAAGGGGTGGGACGGGAACATACTTGATGGGGGTCATAAAGTGATAACGACTGATAAGAGCAGATACGAGGCGCTGGGACACAAATTTTACAAAATTCAGTGCACTTCGCAGCAGTCGTCAGGAGCTGATTTTGGGATATAAAGGGGTGGGACGGGAACATACTTGATGAGGTCAAAAAGTGATAACGGCCGATAAGATCCGATAGAGTGCGAGTATCAAGAAGTTCGTAGCGTGCGGCCCAGCAGCATCAAGGCACTGTCTCTTGGATATGATATAGGAAGTGGGACCGGAAGATATTTGGCGGGAGACAGAAGGCGATAACAGCTGATAAGATCCGATAAGGGAAGCGGAATCATTCAATTTCAATTGCGATATCGTCGCCAATATCGGAATCTTCGACCGCTGACCTCTCCAATCTTCACACGATAGTAAGTTTTCGTGGAAATATGATAAGCTGTTGGGTGTTTCTGTTGCAATGTCATCGCCACTAGAAGGTGTATCAACTGCAGAAACTTCCCACCATCTCAACCGTGGTAGTTGTTTGCGCTAAGCTAATGGCTGACAGTAAGCATTTCAAGTAATCAGAGTAGTTATCCAAGGCCTATTCGACCGCTAGACCACCTTAGTTCCGGAAAAATGTTATATCTTTGAGTTTTGACGAGCTACGGGAAATGACTGCTTTATCATCAAGAGGAACCTTTCGCTAATCATATCATTCAAAAGCAATGACAATGCATGCTGCCTGGGGCTGAATCTGCCACACCAATAACATCAGCTGGCCGAATAGGGTCTTTAGTGAATATCGCTGCTAATCAATATCAAGGGGAGCACAAATTATCCAAGAACCAGCTATGAGCTCTTTCAGAGAAAGCGTTAACAAACTTTCATCCAATTCTAATCCAAATGTTATCACGTATATTCTCGATGGACTTGAGTGAAACTGGGGACACATTCAATGATGTGGTGGTTAATGGCGTACCTCATGTTGCCACTTCATGAATCCTCGAGTTTCGCTAAAGTCACTCTGTAATGCGCGGGAATGTGGACGGAGCAAAACTGGTCGGTTGATAACGAGAGAGTAGCAGATTCACGTGGACGTCAGCTTGATCGCCTCTTTTAACGGCACCTTTAAACTGAGTGATAGACTCCAACTGCACCCTGAAGCCGGAGAGGGATGGGATACATATAACTGCTAAAACAGCGAACCTTTTTTACGAATGTATTTTTGTTATTATTGTTTATTTATACCTGCCCTTCTAGTATCAACTACATATGAACCTTGCCTCCCCAAATATTTCCTCCTATCCTGGAGTCACTGGTTGTGTTTTACCCTTGTCAGACTCCCAAATGTTTGAAAATAGTAAACGTTTTTGGTTTTTAGATCTCATCCGAAGCGAGAAAGTCAATCGTCTTTTTACTGGACGCTCGAATGCTTGCTATAAAAGATGGATGGAAGAATGTATGTTGTTTTGACTAATTATCCTAATTTCGACTAACTCACCCACCAAAATGAGCATAAAAAGGATCGAGAATTCGGCATGATCAGTACCTTATTGGAGAGCACTACGAATTCCACTCCTGTTTTGAAATATGGCGTCATTCGAATGTTGCTTGGCCTATACAATGTGAGGCCAGCCGATGTATATCCTAGCCTTTTTATACTTCCAAGACTAGCACCATCGACTTGCTGACCCGACCTGGAATTATAGGTTTGGTTAGCCTAAATGAACTCGTCTCATTTAGTCAGTCAACCATCCGTATTTCGCATGAAAAGCGCCACCATTTGAGACTCTGTTGCAATCACTGGGATAAAGATCCATAAAGCAGAACTGTAGAAAAAAAACGAAATTCATTCTTTCCAACACTTCTCAGAATGAGATTTTCCGAAGAGGAGTTATGTCAAACGCGCACACTTTCAAAAAACAACAACAGCTTCTCGTTTTTGTCTTCACGATTTCGTAGATGCATGAAGTATAGGCATTCTGTATTTATAAAAAAGATATGCTTCATCAGGCCTTCATTTGGTCCACTTTAAAGATGGTGCTCTGTGCTAAAAACACATGCGCTCTGCTGAACTTCGAAACCTTTAGTCAAATAGAATTGCTCACCTGAATGATGTACGGTCATTGTACTTAGAAAAGTAAACTTGACATGCAGTTACCCTGCATTACAACATTTGGCTTCGACGAAAACAAGCAGTGTGTGGAAAAACGGGAACGAGATACAGATAATACAGCTTCTTGTGGCTATTACTTGACTTACAGATGGTCGACTTAGTGGTGAGGACTGTAGGACGAATGAAGCAAACGAGAGTGGCAGTTATAGCAATGAGCTGCCCGTCGACAGTCATCGTTCCTATGGGCATCTACACTTCTGATTACCTGAGGTAACATCTCTTTCGTTGAGATACACAATTGCAATAATCAGTTGGAATGCAAAGCTGCTACATGGTAATCGCATAAGCTATCAGGTTGATCCGGTCCATGATTTATTTTGGCTGACGGCTGTTCTTAAGCTTCGAATATTTGGTCAATCCGACGTCAATTGAAAGCTTACAATTTTAATATAAAGTACACAAATGAACAAAGGAAAACAAAACAAATGAGCAACACAAATATAATCAACAAATTAGAATAGCCTTCAGCCTAAACAACAATTGATAAATTTGGATCAACCTAATATTTTTCAGAAGCCAGTCGCTGGCGTTCAAGCCTGATGGGGACAAGATCGCTACATCTCAAGCATACAGACTCGCTAAAAAGATTCTAGATGTAAGTATTACGCTGCGCTTATCCAGGATAATTAGGAAATTAACGTTGTAGCCAATTATAGTTCATTATAAGTCATTTTATAGAATGCCTACCATTCCCTTCCAATGAAATTTCAAATTCAAATTTAGCTGATTAATGTGCATTGCATTTAGGCAGAGACTACCAAAGATAAAAGGGTAGCCGTGTTCACAGATGGTCAAAGTTCAACATGTGACATACCTGAAACTGAGGATAAGGATGAACTCAGCGTTGTCGACAAGGTAGATTAGGCACCATCTTATGATTCCTGGTCTTCTTTTGTAAACGTCCGGGTTGTAACACAAACTCCCATGTTTTTGCAATTCTCTTTTTGCAACCCTGCTGGCTAAAGAGAAGCCTGTCTTCGGACGACTTCAATATTGTCATGTAACTCGAAAAACTGTCCGGAATACTCGCGCCGTTTACAGGGAGGTGGCGGATAACAAGCATACACAGAAACGTCAAGAATTATTTTGTAACTGACTGTATCACCTTGGAGCATTCATTGTAGTAGCGTCCTGCCTGGGTATCCATACGAACGTAATTGGTTCATGCATATTGCAGATGCGCAAAAATGGCACGAATATGGTAATGGTCCCCACAGGACCACCCGCGAATGGAACAAACATGACCGACTTTGTCGACGATCCAAGCAATGTACTAGATACTAAGCAAGGAAGGGACGTTACAGTAAGTTTGCGTGCTGGTTATACAGTGATGACTCTAAACTTCAACTGCTGTTATTCAGGCAAAACCGGACTCCGACGAGGCCAGGGAAATGCAAAATCGTTTGCTTGATGCGCTCACAAAACCATTGGAACTTGAGCACGCTACAGTTCCTCACGAAGAGACTGCAGAACCCGAAACCGGTGAACCTTCAACGGCAGGAAACACAGTGGCTGGTTTTGATAGAACGACACCAGAAGATAATGAGCGCAATGTGGTAACTCCACCAATAGGAACAGGCGGTCCACCTGTGCATATCACGTCAACCAAAAACCCGGAGGAACCCGAAACCGGTGAACCGTCAACGGCAGGAAACAGTGTTGCTGGTTTTGATAGAACGACACCAGAGAATAATGACCGTAACATGGTAACTCCACCACTAGGAATGGATCATGTCACGTCAAGACCAGATGCTGTAAGATCAGGCTTAGCTTTCAACATTCACATCGAAGTTCTGCAGAAGTAGAACTGGCAGGGGTTTTCTTTTGTTTAGAGAGTTGTCAAAAATGGTGTTTTCTCGTGGGTGTGATTTTTTTCAATCAGCACTGCATACAGTGTGGCGAAAAATTACGTACGTGTGACTACAAATCGCTTGCATTAGAAAGTTATGCAACTTCTCCTTTTCAAAGTATTCATCGTTTGCTAATTATTGGTTTGTTGAAGAGAGTATTAACTTTCGGAGTTCTGGCAAAGATGTGTTCAAGTTGAAACGGGACCGCGCGGCAAGCAAAGGGTTTGACTCAGAGCTCTTTGCACGATGCGTTCTGTAGAAAAGCGAGCTGTGACGCAACCCTTGAGGTGTACTCCATTACCTTTGTAACATCCACCCTCCAGTTCTCCACAACAATGGCTAGGAGGCACAAAATTTGTCTAGTGTTTCAGAGTGCTTCTGCTACAAAGTCAATCGTCTTCCTACTGGACGCTTCATCTGCTGCTCTTGGAGAATCATGGACAAATGTTTGTTGCTTTAAGTTATCTTCCAACATTTTAAAGACTCACTCATTAAGGTGAAATTAAAAGAGTAACTTTGGCGCCTATATCTCCCACTTTCTTGTCGCACACCATGCATCCCGTTTTTACTTCTACAAGTATGGTATTTGAATGTGGTATAACGTACGCAGTGTGAGGCATAAATATTGGAACAAGATTGATCTGCAGCAAACACATTTATTGAATCATGAGCAGATGCCATGACTGGACCACTAGACTCACCATTAGCTTTACACTTGACTCTGTAGTTTCACAGTCCCACAATCATTGCTTGGTGGATGGTTTCATTTGAAGGCACGGGTCACAATGGGTTCCTTGGAGAAATCTCTCTTTGAGTAAAGTAGCAGGGCGAGTTATCACAGTAGAGGATGGTGGTATTTTTGCAACCTCGCGACCTGAAAAAGCGCTACAATGGAGAGAAAGAGTTCACTTGACAGCTGTGACCGCTGCCATTCTTATCGATCGCATTATCACGTCTCGCTCTCTTGCAACCAGCCTCCTTCCTGCACTTTCCCTAGTTCTTAAAGCACTATGTCCCTCCTCTACCACGATTGACCCGCAAGAGAAATTTTAATGTTTCCGGAAATTTTACTGTTTCGTGTGCCGGATCAATGACTGATTTTTGTGAAAATCTGCCCATTTCTCCGACATTGGGTCCCACAAAGATTGGCTAGCCAATCCTCCGATTAGAATGAGGAGGACTATTCAATGTGGTAAACAATGGATCGCTAACAGGTGCACTTTAAAAAGTCGGAGACGAGGTCTTATGCGGGCAAGGGCCCAGACCCTGTAGGGCAGGTACCGAGAGAAATGCAAAGTTCCCGGAAGAGTGTCCTTAATGAGAAATGTGACAATTGTTTGAAACAACATGGTCATGCGCTGAGATACCTAATTTCTCGCTTTGACCTTTCTGTCGAACTAGGCCACAATTATTTTATCACAGTAGGTATGCCCCGCCCTGTACTATAACTGGAATGCAACCGATGCGCGAAAAGCAGTTTTCTCAAAATTTTCGGTGTTAAATGAGCAACTAGGGAGAGGTAGTGAAATCGGTTGCCCTGGCCAAAGTGTGATTCCAGATTGACCTCGTGATCATTCGCGAGACCGACAATGCTAACTGCCACTCCCGCACCGCAAGCAGCACGATGCTCCATAACATAAATCTGTGAAGCTTATGGTAGAACAAATACTATCTTCTAAGGTCTCACTCAGATGAGCTTTCTCGCAGTTGAGCTCTTTCCTAATGCGTATGCATTTTGAAAGGGCCGCTTCAACCGGGCAGCTTCTTGCTTTTGATTTTACAAACTTGTGTGCACAAACTACGGTAATTGCGATTAGGGAATTGTAATTAGCAGGCCGGCTACTGATTAGACTCGCAGTAGAGATTCATGTTTCTGACGCATACGTTCACTCAAATGCGCACTATTTTAGAAGCACTTATCGAAAAAACTTATACTGTTGCGTGTCTTGCCCTCATATTTTCAGTACAGAAATGACTGGGAACGTGCAGTAATAACTTGATTTCTACGTCACAGCGTTACGGTGTAGCGAGTCGAAGCGCTCTGCATCAGCATCAAACCCAATACGAAATGAGGTAACAGCGGTTGATAATGATGGAGAAGAAAGGGCGTGTCTGGATGTATTCTTGAACATAACTGTACCAACGCGATACATCTACCACATCAATCCACCTACGCCGTAATCTTGTGTGTCAGGGGGTGTGAGGTATCTCGTCCGTGACTACTGCGCCTTTGCGTGTCTGAGGTTGTTGGATTAAATTGGCAGCGTTTTGCAGATAAGACATGTTTTTCTGAGAAATATTTTATTTTCAGATGGTTGAACTAGTGGTAAGAACCGTGGGAGAATTGAATCAGCCGAGAGTGGCAGCTGTAGCTATGAGCTGTCCGTCAGAAATTCTATTGCAAATGAACACCTATACTCCTAGTCAATTGAGGTGACTCGTATTTGCTCGCAGATTGTTCACTACTGACATCAAACGTAACCAACTAGTGACAGACAAACAGAACTTCAATCCGTCATACCTCTTGCTTACAGTGGCGTTTTTCCCCTTACCGAAGTTTGTGGCTAACGCCTAGTTAACTATGTGCCGCGTGATGCACAACAGAAATGAGAGCTTCAGAGAAGGAACCTTATTTATGTTACACCAGTTTAGCTCCGCACGCCACCGCGCGCATCACACCGAAGGTTCGAGAAAAAGTCGGTGGAACCTAGGTTTACCGGTAAGAAGTAAGTTTTTCAGGGAAGTGCGTCAGCTGTCTCCGCCTGATACGCGCGGATATGGAGCTGAACTGGTGTCTGTAAACAAATACCATGCATTAAATGTCAGATAATTTGGCGGTCAGATAAACTTTGACGCTAATGAATTTAGTATGGAAATACCCAGTACTCATTATCATATTTATCCAAACATCCACCGTACAAGAACTAGGAACTCTAGGGAATTGAGCGTATTAGGTATTTTGGGTTAAGGAAAACAAAGCAAAGAAATGTTATTAAAACGAAAAAGCGTTATCTCGAATCCGGTTTCGATAAACCTCTATGTTCATACGCATCATTGTTATCAGTCCATATCAGCCGATATCCCTTTCTGTCCCGCACCAATAAAGTTCCCGTCCCACCCTCTACATCACTTGTCGAAACCAATGGCTCACTGCTGCTAGGACGCCCACCGCGAATTTCGTGAAATTCGCGTTATAGCGCCTCTTATCAGCTCTTTCAGTCGTTATCACTTTCTGACCGCCATCAAATATGTTCCCGTTCTGCCCCCCACCATAATACTGAAATTACAGGGTTCCTTGCAGCAAAGCGCGCTATGAAATTCGTGACACACACACCACACACCGCACGCGCGCTCACACACATGCTTAGCGCATTATATATAGTAGGATTGACAACACATTGCGAAAGTTGTTTTTCAGGAAGGACTTGCTGGCGTACCATCCTGCTGGAGGGGAGATCGCTACAGCTCAAGCATACGGTCTCGCAAGAGATCTCCTTAATGTAAGTACAGTACATAACTGTACCAGTTGGCAAAAAACAGGCGTATGCAGTGGACTACTAAGAGTCTTCTGATGACACAGACTAGACTCCATTCTTCTACCAAGTATTTCTCGAATTCATTAATGAACATGCTATTCAGGCGGAGACCACTGAAGATAAGAGTGTAGTCGTGTTCTCAAATGGCCAAACTTCAACATGTAACATACCTTTAGCTGGAAATGATGATGAACGCAGTACTGCCAGCAAGGTAGCTTATGCATAATCTTACGATCGCAAGTCTTTGTTATTCATGATTTCGCGTTTTTCTTTTCGCAACCCATCTAACTCACAGTACGCCCGAAAGGCTGTTACCACCTCAAAACTCATTGGCACAACTTTTATGAAAGAAATCCCAACAGAACGCTAAGTTGTTTGGAGTGGTACTGCACGGAACCTTATATGGGGTCACTCGAATTATAAAGGCTTGCTCTGATATTTGGTTGATTAGAAGGCGACTTTCGGATAGCGAACACATTGCAAAAGCTTCGCTAACATATACTGTAATTTATTAGGTTATCCCGAAGCGGCCGGGCGTTCAGAGAAGATTTTCGCCACCTATATCATCCAATCTTGTTTGTTCTTTTTGCAGTTGCGCAGTAACAACACGGGCATTATTTACGTCCCCATCGAAAAACCAGTGAATCAATCTAATGTGGACGAAATCACGCACAACCCAAACAATGTAGCAGACCCGCAAAATCTCACGGTAAGTTGGCATATTTCTTGTACTCTCAAGTCCAGAGTTAAGCTGTTAGTGTTCAGACAAAGCCGGATCCTGTGCGTTTGGAGAAAGCGAAGGACTGGTTGGTTCAGCGGCTCAATGGGACACCAGCTACCACAACCGAGGCCTGGGAAACTACAAAGGAAAAGCATGGAACGACGCCTGCAGCAGCGGACAGAACCACTGAATCCCAGGCAGAGACGCAACGTACTGGAGTGCGTGGACTCCCAACGACTGCGGAAATGCCTCAGCTTGAGGCGACAACCACAACCGAGGCCTGGGAAACTACAAAGGAAAAGCATGGAACGACGCCTACAGCAGCGGACAGAACCACTAAATCCCAGGCAGAGACGCAACGTACTGGAGTGCGTGGACTCCCAACGACTGCGGAAATGCCTCAGCTTGAGGCGACAACCACAACAGAAGGACCAAACTTAAGCGTATCACCAGTTCACACCCCTTCACCCCCAGATGATGTAAGATCATCCTCAGCTTATCTATTATTATTTTACATGATTCACTTGAAGAAAAGAGTCTCTTCGGGGCTCTCCCCTTCTTGTGTTTGAGTGAAAGGGAATGTCGCAAAAGGCCTGTGGACTTCAATTGCACTCATACTTACATTGTGGAATCAGTTAATATGGGTGGGTGTCGTAAGTGCTAGTAATGGATGTAAAAAAAACTAAAATGAGGCCATCTACTGAGTGGATCGAAGTAAATGTCTCAAAGAAAACGAACATCATAAAAGTCAGGCACAAAATGGTTAAAAGACAGAAACGTATCTCGAGTTTCAGAGCACTTCTGCTACAAAGTCAATCGTCTTCCTACTGGATGCATCATCTGCTGCTCTCGGAGAAGCATGGAAGAGTGTTTGTTGTTGATGTTATCTTCTTACTTCCGACTAGCTTTGTCAGCTATCACCATGAATAACGTCGTCTCTTTCCTATCGGGCGCCATGCATCCCACTTTCATTTGTAAAAGTAATGGTATTTGAATTAGGCATGACCAGTACAATAACTGGGGGGGGGGGGAGGGGTGGGAAGCCCAACTCTGGGGGAGGGTTAGGATGTCCCATTCAGGATGATTTGACCTCCTGATCATTCGCGAGATCGGCAGTGCTAATTGCCACTACATTACCCCCCGTGCTAACCACAAGGATGAAGTTTCAGGATATAAAACTGTAGAGGTGAGAACAAATACTATCTTCTAAGGTCTAACTCAGATGAGCAAACTCGCAGTTGAGCTCTCTTCTAATGCGTAGACATTCCGAAAGGGACCGCTTCAACCGGGAAGCTTTTGATTTGACAAACCCGTATGCACAGAATACGGTAATTGCGATTGCGGAAATTGTGATTAGCACGACTCAGTAGTAGAGATTCATGTTTCTAACGCATGTTTCTAACGCTCACTCTGATGCGCACTGTTTTAGAAGCACTTACCGAAAAAAAAACTCATACTGAGCCTTTGCCTCATATTTACAGTAAAGAAATTTCTACTGTGAAAGTACAGTAATAACCTGATTCTTACGTCACAGCATTATGGGTGTGACCAGCAAGGTGAGTTCGGTGGAGAAAATCCTCGACAGGGGTCGTACTAGTGAAGCTGGGCCCGGGTTAAGCGAAGATGTGTGAAGACATTATAAAAAGTATTCATTGCAGGTTCAGTCGTCCATTCCTCTACCTTTATGAGATGGACATATTTGAAAGCAGTACAAAAAATGAAAGTGCATCTCCACAAGGAACAGGGTCACATGTGCATATTGCTGCAAAGGCACCTCCTCCATCTACTGCCCGCTCCCTCTCCCTTAATACCTCGTTGAGAATGACACTGTTAGGGACGCTGTGACAAAAACAACCGTGAAAGAAAGACCCTGGTTAATTGGAGCTGTTCCTCAGGCTATAGGGGTTAGGAAATTTGTTTACAACAATACAGCTTGGCAATGATCATATAACACTTTCAATAGAATTGTGCAACTTCAAGTGAAGGTCGGGTGCATGGCCTCTACCTAGACAAAATCGGATGATGACGATTGCCCCTTTTCTTATTCTACCATATATAATTCGCCGAGTATGTCTGCGCGTGTGTAAGTGTGTGTGCGACTTGTTCGTGTGTGTTGACACGAAATTTATAGCGCACTTCGCTGCAACAGTGGAGCGCTGTATTTTAAGTATGTTGTAGGGGGTGAGACGGGAACCAGAGTCAACCCTACGTTGCGCAGTTCGCAACGGCACGTTGAGAGATCCTCAACGCACGCTGTATGGGCGGAGACGCAGAAGCTCGAGCATGCGAGTGTGAATGTTCGCGCGAGAGAACGTGTCTAGTCGGGCGAAACTGCGCAACGTGGACGTTGAAAACTGCGCAACGCAGGGTTGACTCTGACGGGATTACCTTTGGTGAGGGACTCTAAGTGATAACAACTGTCAAGGTCCGATGAGAGGCGCCAGAACGCCAATTCCACGATATCCATAGCGCGTCCCAGCTTCAGTGAGACGTTGGTCCCAAGGAGTTTTGTAGGGGGTGGGACTGGAACATATATGGTGGGGGAAAGAAAGCGATTACGGCTGATAAGGGGCGATAACAACGATATGTATAAGAATATAGAGGTCACTAGAGCCAGACTCATTTCAACTTTCATTTCAATATTCTTTCATTTGCGTTGTTGTCGTCAGCCCGAAATACCACTGGGCCGCTATACTTCCCAGAAATCCTAGAAATGTATGGTGGATTTTTGAAGAAATACGATAACGAATGCTGAATGAATTTATCAACATCAGACACAACCCGACCGCTAAATTACACTGACATTCGATGCATGGTGGTTGTTTAGAGACACCGCACTCCACTGCGCGTATCAAACGGTGAGCTCATGCAAAGATGAGGAGCCTATGGAGCGGTCAGCTAATGCATTTTACAAAGCTCAATGTTTAGCGGTGAATATAACGCTTTATCGGCTGTCCTGTCTCATCCGGACCTTCCACTTCATGCGCGCGGTAGTGCGGCGCTAAACTGATACCATATGTTGAAAGAATGTGTTCCAGACACATTTAGCGTGTTGTGGACGAATTATCCTGCAATGGTGAAGAAGGGAGCGGCCTTCCGAGCTGCCGAATAATTCTCGATGGATCCTTAACGCAAATATCTCCTCAACTGTACTGTAGGAGGCTAGACAGACTATTAGAAACCGCGCACCTTCCGCTTTCTAAACCGCCTTGTTTTCCCAAGATCTTGCGGAATTGGAGAGATATTGCCTTTTAGGTTGCAAAAACTCGCACGAAAATTTCAGCATCCTCGACGCTCCCTCGATGGATTTTGAGACTATATCTTTTCGTGTGGAAGACTTTCATAGCAATTCCAATGTTGCCTGATGGTAGCAGATCTAGCTCTACCTAACCCCACCAAGCGCTGTTCAAAAGGTTGGGAGTGGAGGAATGGAAACTTTCATCGAGGGTGTAGATCTCAATAGTTTTGTTTTCGAGACTTCAACAAATCTGACCCAGAGACGAATTGCGCCGCAGCTGCGACGTACTTCTGCGACCACGTCCTCGACACGGTTCTCACCCTGGTGACGAGTCTAGCGCTCTGCATCAGTGCAACAAACCCAACACCAATTGGTGAGGGGACAGCGGTTGATAGTGATGACGAGGAAAGGACGTGTCTGGATATATCCTTGAAGATAACTGCACCAACGCAATACATCCATCATACCAATCTACCTATCGGCTAGATACATCTATCATACCAATCTACCTATCGGCTATCTTGCTTGCTACGCCGTAATCCTGTATGTTAGGGGGTGCGAGGTGTGGGGTGTTCGTGAGTTCCCATTAGCCGCCATCGATTACTTTGTAGGGTCCTAGCGCCGTCGCGCACTTTCAAGCCGCGACAACGGTACCTTTGTCAGTCTGAGGTTGTTGCATCAAATTGGCAGCGTTTTCACATAAGACATTTTCCTGAGAAATGTTTTATTTTCAGATGGTTGAACTAGTGGTAAGAACCGTGGGAGAATTGAATCAGCCGAGAGTGGCAGCTGTAGCTATGAGCTGTCCGTCAGAAATTCTCTTGCAAATGAAAATCTATACTCCTAGTCAATTGAGGTGACTCGTATTTGCTCGCATGATTGTTCACTATTGACATCAAACGTAACCAACTAGTGACAGACAAACAGAAATTCAATCCGTCATATCTCTTGCTTATTGTGGCGTTTTTCCCCTTACCTACGTTTGTGGCTAACTCTTACTGTTAGTTACACTATGTGCCGCGTGATGCACAACAGAAATGAGTGCTTCAGAGAAGGACCCTTATTTACACTACACTGATAACACATTGCGGAAGTTGTTTTTCAGGAAGGACTTGCTGGCGTACCATCCAGCTGGAGGGGAGATCGCTACAGCTCAAGCATACGGTCTCGCAAGAGATCTTCTCAATGTGAGTAGAGTACATTATTCGGACCAACTTAACAAAAAATAGGCGTATGCAATGAACCACCAAGTCTTCAATTTAAGAGTAGACTCCATTTTTCATGTAGTATTTCTCGAATTTATTAATGAACATGGTTTTCAGAGGGAGACCACTAAAGAGAAGAGCGTAGTCGTGTTCTCAAATGGCCAAACTTCAACTTGTAACATACCTTTAACAGGGAATAAGGATGAACGCAGCCTCGCCAACGAGGTAGTTTATGCATAATCTTCCAAGGACCGCAACTCTTTGTTTGTGTACTGCTGATTTTTAACTTGTGCTCCCCGGAACCAATCTAGATCAACAGTGCGGATACAATCGCCTGAAAGCCTGTTACAACCTCAAAAACTCATTGGCACAATTTTTATGGAAGAAATCCGAACTGAACGCTAGGTTTTTTGAAGTGAAACTGCAAAGAACCTTATATAGGGCTTCACTCAAATCAGGAATACTTGGTCTGATATTTGGCTGATTAGTAGGCAACTTTTGGATAGAGAAGCGTCGCACACTTATACTATAATTTGTTAGGTTATCCTGAAGCAGCCATTCACAAAACTTTCGTCAACTATCCTATAGAATCTTGTTTATTCATTTTGCAGTTACACAATAATAACACGGGTATTATTTACCTCCCCATCGAAAAACCCGTGAATCGATCATATTTGGACGAAATCACGCACGATCCCAACAATGTAGCCGACCCGCAAAATCTCACGGTAAGCTGGCATATTTCTTGTACTTTCAAGTCCAGAGTTTAGCTGTTAGTGTTCAGACAAAGCAGGACCCTGCCCGTTTGGAGAAAGCGAAGGACTGGCTAGTTCAGCGGCTCAATGGGACTTCAGCTACCACAACCGAGGCCTGGGAAACTACAAAGGAAAAGCATGGAACGACGCCTACAGCAGCGGACAGAACCACTGAATCCCAGGCAGAGACGCAACGTACTGGAGTGCGTGAACTCTCAACGACTGCGGAAATGCCTCAGTCTGAAGCGACAATCACAACAGAAGGACCAAACTTAAGCGTATCACCAGTACACACCGCTTCACCCCCAGATGATGTAAGATCATCCTCAGCTTATAACTATTATTATTTTACATGATTCACTTGAAGAAAAGAGTCCCTTCGGGGCTCTACCCTTCTTGTGTTTGAGTGGAAGGGGATGTCGTAAAAGGCCTCACCCCTGAGGACTTCAATTGCACTCATACTTACATTGTGGAATCAGTTAATATGGGTGGGTGTCGTAAGTGCTAGTAATGGATGTAGAAAAACTAAAATGAGGCCATCATTATTGAGCGGACCGAAGTAGATGTCTCAAAAAAAACCAACACCATAAAAATCTGTCACAACAATGGGTAAAAGACAGAAAATGTGTCTCGAGTTTTAGAGCGCTTCTCCTACAAAGTATGGAACGACGCCTGCAGCAGCGGACAGAACCACTGAATCTCAGGCAGAGACGCAACGTACTGGAGTGCGTGAACTCTCAACGACTGCGGAAATGCCTCAGTTTGAGGCGACAACAACAACAGAAGGACCAATCTTAAGCGTATCACCAGTACACACCCCTTCACCCCCAGATGATGTAAGATCATCCTCAGCTTATAACTATTATTATTTTACATGATTCACTTGAAGAAAAGAGTCCCTTCGGGGCTCTACCCTTCTTGTGTTTGAGTGGAAGGGGATGTCGTAAAAGGCCTCACCCCTGTGGACTTCAATTGCACTCATACTTACATTGTGGAATCAGTTAATATGGGTGGGTGTCGTAAGTGCTAGTAATGGATGTAAAAAAAAACTAAAATGAGGCCATCTATTGAGTGGATCGAAGTAAATGTATCAAAGAAACCAACATCATAAAAGTCAGGCACAAAGTGATTAAAAGACAGAAACGTATCTCGCGTTTCAGAGCACTTCTGCTACAAAGTCAATCGTCTTCCTACTGGATGCATCATCTGCTGCTCTTGGAGAAGCTTGGAAGAATGTTTGTTGTTAATGTTATCTTCTTACTTCCGACTAGCTCAGCTATCACCATAAATAACGTCGTCTCTCTTTCCTCTTCGTCTCGGCGGAGGTCGTTTCCGCATTATGTTGGTTTTTGAAGCATAACTCTTTGGAGAAGCTATCCTGGTAACGAGAAAGTGAAAAATCATAAGCAAGAAGTCTTCCGAGTAGGATGTTCGCAGGACTGATTCGTAGCCAATCTTTTCCAACTTCTGCAGGGTTGGTTGTGGAATGTGCGTCCGAGCTCCCTGTCAGGAACGAGCCGGTTCCCTTATAATGAGGAATTTCGAGCATATGTGCCAGAGTTCTAGGAGTAATTTGACACATTATCAGGAGTACTTTTTGCAGACTAACAGACCCACCTAGTTACGACAAGCTAGACCAGCCGCCGACCTTATGAAAGTCACCTCAACCTTCCTTCGGTGAAGTTTCACTTTTGCAAAGTTTGTCGAGTCTATTCGCGGTTGATCACTTCACCAAAGGTTCGTTGTAGCAGAGAATCAATTCTTTGTCGAGCGTTGCAAATGCTCGAAAAGTTACGTCTCTTTCATGGCATGAAACAGGCTAGAACGCGGCGAACGACCCTTCAAAATGGTGAGCTATCGCGGCACGCCCTATTTTAATTTTTGGCACTTTCCAGCTCTTTCCGTACAACAAGAAAACACAATGTAAGTGCGATTACTTCAGGGGAACCCTCTCGATAAATTTGTGCAAACGTGCTTCAACCATAACGTCCGACTAATCGTTGGCGTTGTCCACTCTCCGATCGCCACCCTCACAATCTTTGGGGTGCTCGCTACTCATACAGAAGCTTTTTGAACAATTTCTTCAGACCTTATTTATTGCGAATCCCAGCCAAGTGCGTCTATGATATCTTGACCTGTTTCCTCGCCATACTGGCCTGTTATTAGCTAGAAAAAGGAAATCATGCAAATTTGCTCTCGGAGTATGCCGTATTCAAGGCTTCAAAAAATGATAACTAAATAATAAGGAACATAGCTAGCCTAGCTGCTAGATAGAACAAGAAAATTTCTTTAGAACCACATACAGCTCATTGGCACTGGCTTGAATTCGTAACAGCAACAAAATAAAGCGTTCAAAAACGAAACACCGAAAAGCGCAAGAACTTTCTCCACGACCTAATACTACCTTCTAAGGTCTAATTCAGATGAGCAAACTCGCAGTTGAGCTCTCTTTTATTGCGTAGGCATTGGGACCGCTTCGACCGGGAAGCTTTTGTTTTTACAAACCCGTATGCACGAAGTACCGTAATTGCGGTTGCGGAAATGTGATTAGCAGGCTGGTTGTTTATCTGACTCAGTAGTAGAGATTCATGTTTCTAACGCACACGTTCACTCTGATGCGCACTATTTTAGAAGCACTTACCGAGAAAAAACTCATATTGAGCCTCTTTTGCCTCATATTTCCTGTGAAGAAATTTCTACTGTGAAAGTACAGTAATAACTTGATTCCTACGTCACAGCATTATGGGTGTGACCACGGCATGTCGTACTCGTGACGATCAGTATCATCAGTGGAATCGTAGAGAAGATAGGAGTAGGAGTGCGTAGCGCAGATAGCGAAGATGTGTGAAAAAACATTATAAAAAGTGTCTTGCTTCTGTTTTGCCTTCCAGGGTTGTTATGGTGGAATCTTTATTGGTCGACGTTTCGAACAAATCGTCGTTATCAAGACCTGAAATTAGTCTGGAGCTCTATTTTGTGGTCTATCCACTTATACCCCAATATTGTCAATTGTTACAATTACATTATCTCAGCAGTTTCAAATCAAGCTAAGATTCCAGCTAAAACCAATCTCCTACGTTTCCACTTGTACTGGATCCCCACTTGGCCCCGCGAACAGCTGACGAAAAATGAGGCACAGCTCACCCTCGCGTAATACGTGCGGTGGGTGGTGATATCATAATTCGCATAATGGAATAAAGGGCAAGGATTCACTTGTAACGGTCATGCACTCAATTTGGTTGTTCAGCTGTGGATTTCGCACACGGATGTAGAACGCTTCTAACATTTTCCTAGCGCCGATGTCATCCTCCTGGGTCAAAATTTTACATTCTACAGGGGTGGCCAAAAAAAAACTTCGCCTATGGCACACATCATCGAACTTTTTGTCGCACAGGGCGCCGATGTTAATGAGAGTTTTATGGCGGAATATTCCTAAGATGTTCCCACGTAAGCAGAAGTGGGGCCTTTTTAACTGCTTCCACCGTGTTCAAAATATGACGTCATCTGTCATCACGTCGAGCTCAACGAGGCTTGCTGTAATCGCTCCGGCCTGAAGCTGCTACATAATTTCTTCAATGAATTAAGTGTTAAATAGTTTTCCAGAAACATTAGCTGTGCCTATGCGAAACCGCGTTTGACCAGCGTTTCAGGATCGTCGTGATGATCTATGGTACCTCAACGACCTCGTTGAGCTCGTACCGTGAGGCATGTTTCTGTGGGGAAATCTTCTGACGTCGTTGGTGTAGAAGGCTGTCATGTGGCTTTTAGATAGATTAGAATGTGCTCTTCAATACTAAGTTGGGTTCAGTCGATTTGATTCTAGCAAAGTGTGATAATGCTGGCTGAACTTTGAAGTGAAGTGTCTCTTTTTTTTTGGCCACCCCTGTACTTCAAAGTCACTGCACTGGTGTGACTTTGATGTACAGGGGTGACTTTTTCAACCGATGTTTGCCAAGTGGAGTAAGAAGCTTCCACGTATTTTTCCAGCCGAGTGTTCCTTAACGCGTACACCTAACACCCTGCCTGTTTCAACAATATACCGTTCGCCACAGGTTGAACATCGAAGTTGGTATAACGCTCTTCTCAATGCGCAATCTCCCTGAATTCCGTATGGGCAAACGGTGCAGTTCATCGTAGTGCATGTACGATCGTATAGCCCATTGCGGATTAGTTGATGTTTAATATTGCCTTTAGGTACGTTAACCAAAACTACATCGTTAGCTAAATCCGCTCGTGATATGCTCTGCTATATTGCTGCACTGACTCTATCCGATATGAAAGGCAGTTGGAGAATCGCCATGTCTTCGCGACTTCTCGCGGTATGCCCTGGCGCGTCTTTGCGAGTACACGCGGAATGCGCTGGCGAGTCTTCGCGATTTCTTGCGGAACGCCTTCGTGAGCCTGATCCTCCGACCGTATTCCATAGCCATTCATCCTTGCGATATAAGTAGCTAGCTCAGACTCATCCCGCTCCATGTCGCCTGTACAAACTCCAACAGCTGTTTTGTACGTGTTTCGGATAACCTCCCTTTTAACAGCGCTGGGGTGTGCAGACTTCGCATGAAGTAGGATGTTCTTCGAGCTGCTCTTTCTATACCACCTCACATTATACGTGTCATTCGAGATTTTTATATGTGTATTCAAGTAAGGTAGCCATCCGTTGGGTGGAGCTTCTCTCGTTAACTTTATGTACTGCGACTGCTGGTTGAGAATGTTGATCAATTCGTCCATTGCAAGCTGCGTTGGAGTAATTACGCTGCAATCGTCAATCGACAGTACGTAATGGGCATACGTGCTAGCACCGGCCTTTCTACACTGCCCATGAAGCATATGGCTAGGACCGGTGCTAGACGTTGTCCCATCGCAAGTCTTCGGTTGTGCTTAAAATACTGTCCACTCCACTTGGAAATGTTACATCGCAGGCATTCCTTTACCAAGGTCATACGCGCTTCAATCAACCCGAACGTGACAATCTGTGCGCTATGCTCATCAGCATTTCAGAAAGTGTTTGGAAAGCTGTTCTTGTTTACATTCGTAAAGAGCGCAGTTACGTCGAATGACTCGGCTTCACAGCTCTCTCGGATCCTGCAGGAACGTAATCGATCTAGAAATTCTCTTGTGTTAGGCAAGTGTGAGGGTACGTGCCGGAGAAGTTTACCAACAGTTTTGTTGAGAAACCACGAGATGCGGTCTGTTGGTCCTTCTACACATCTAATGATGGACGTATTTTGTCGTCGCTAGCATTAGCCGAATGTTCTTCTCCGTTGTCTTGCTTGTGAGTCCTGATCAGGCTGTAAAACACCGGGCACGAGGGAGTATCCCACTTCAATCTTTTAATTTTTTCATCTAGCCCCGCCGACTTCCCTACTGACATCCACGCATCGTTCAACCTGTGGCATTGGGTGAGAAACTCTTTCTCTGTGGTGCGACTGTAAACAGATTTATCGCTCAGGTGGAGTTCTGTAATTTCGCGGTCTAACACACGAGGTGAAGCTACGAACTCTCCCCCTTTGTCGCTCACAGAAAGGCCCATCTCATTATTTGCTACAAGTTCCCGGATCTCCTGTAACTCTTCCCACTGTGCGTGTGTGATATTTGAAAACCTCTCTCGTCTGAGCCTGATGAAAACCTCAAGCACTCCCGTTGAGAGAACTGCAAATTTTACGTCAACCTCCGCGAAAGGAGTTGCTTCTTTGTAAAACGAACGTGGGAAAGGAATTGGCGTCAGTGTAGATCGCTCAGATTCTGCATTCAATTGCTGTTGAGCGTTACGAGAAGCATTCCTTCTGAATTGATCTCTGAGTTTGTGAAGCCCCGTTACTACTTGGAAATTAGTAGAAGCCCCAACTCCTTGCGCTATTGAAAAAGAAGGCTCAAGAAGATTAAACAAATTCAAAGCGTTTGACAAATGTAGACAAGAACGAAGCTCTCCAAACACCTTCTGAAATGCTGGATGAGCATAGCGCACAGATTGTCACGTTGGTTGATTGAAGTGCATATAATGACCTTGGAAAAGGAATGCCTGAGATGTGACATTTCAAGTGGAGTGGACAATATTTTAAGCACAACCGAGGACTTGAGATGGGACGTCTAACACCGGTCTTAGCCATATGCTTCATGGGCAGAGTAGAAAGGCCGGTGCTTGCACGTATGCCCATTATGTACTGTCGATTTATTGACGATTGCTGCGTGATTGCTCCAACGCAGCTTGCAATGGACGAATTATTCAACATTCTCAACAAGCAGTCGCAGTACATAAAGTTCACGAGAGAAGCTCCACCCAACGGATGGCTACCTTACTTGAATACACAGATAAAAATCTCGAATGGAACGTATAATGTGAGGCGGTACAGAAAGAGCAGCTCGAAGAACATCCTACTTCATGCCAAGTCTGCACACCCCAGCGCTGTTAAAAGGGCGGTTATTAAAAACACGTACAAAACAGCTGTTGGAGTTTGTACAGGCGACATGGAGCGGGATGAGTCTAAGCTAGCTACTGATATCGCAAGAATGAATGGCTATGGAATACAGGTCGGAGGATCAAGCTCACGAAGGCGTTCCGCAAGAAATCGCGAAGACTCGCCAGCGCATTCCGCGAGTACTCACAAAGACGCGCCAGAGCATACCGCGAGAAGTCGCGAAGACGTGGCGATTCTCCAACTGCCTTTCATATCGGAAGAGTCGGTGCAGTAATATAGCAGAGCATATCACGAGCGGATTTAGCTAACGATGTAGTTTCGGTTAACGTACCTAAAGGCATTAAACATCAACTAATCCGCAATGGGCTATACGATCGCACATGCACTACGAGGAACTGCACCGTTTGCCCATACGGAATTCAGGGAGATTGCGCATCGAGTGGAGCTGTATACCAACTTCGATGTTCAACCTGTGGCGAACGGTATATTGGTGAAACAGGCAGGATGTTAGGTGTACGCGTTAAGGAACACTTGGCTGAAAAAATACGTGGAAGCTTCTTACTCCACTTGACAAACAACGGTTGAAAAACACCAGTGCACTGACTTTGATGTAGGATGTAAAATTTTGACCCAGGAGGATGACATCGGCGCTAGGAAAATGTTAGAAGCGTTCTACATCCGTGTGCGAAATCCAGCTGGACAACAATTGAGTGCATGGCCGTTACAAGTGAATTCCTGCCCTTCATTCCATTATGCGAATTTGGATATCACCACCCACCGCACGTATTACGCAAGGGTGAGCGGTGCCTCATTTTTCGTCAGCTATTCGCGGAACCAAGTGGGGATCCAGCACAGGTGGAAACGTAGGAGATTGGTTTTAGCTGGAATCTTAGCTTGATTTGAAACTACTGAGATAATGTAATTGTAACAATTGGCAATATTGGGGTTTAAGTGGATAGACCACAAAATAGAGCTCCAGACTAATTTCAGGTCTTGATAACGACGATTTGTTCGAAACGTCGACCAATAAAGATTCCACCATAACAACCCTGGAAGGCAAAACAGAAGCAAGACACAATCGGAATGCCCAGGTTTCAAGAAGACCGGACTTGGACCATTATAGAAAGTATTCATTGCAGCTTCAGTCGCTCCATTCCTCTCCTTTATGAGATGGACATATTGGAAAGCAGTTCAAAGAATGATTGTGCATCTCCACAACAAACAGGGTCACATGTGCACACTGCTGCAAAGGCACCTCCTCCATCTACTGCCCGCTTCCTCTCCCTTAATACCTCGTTGAGAATGGCACTGTTAGGGACGCCGTGACAAAAACGACAACCGTGAAGGAAAGACCCTGGGCAAATGAAGCTGTTCTCGGTCTATAGGGGTTACGAAATGTGTTTACAACAAAGCAGATTGGCCATGATCATATAACACTTTCAATCGATTCTGCAACTTCGACAACTGCACCGTTTGCCCATACGGAGTGAAGGACGGATGCATGGCCTATACCCAGACAAGATCGGATGGTGACGATTGCCCCTTTTCTTATAGCATATGTTGGAAGAATGTGTTCCAGACACATTTAGCGTGTTGCTGACGAATTATCCTGCAACGGTGAAGAAGGGAGCGGCCTTTTGAGCTACCGAGAATCATTCTCGATAGATCCTCAACGCAAATATCTCCTCAACGGGACTGTAGAAGAAGACTAGACAAACTGTTAAAAAGCGCGCACCTTCCGCTTTTCAAACCGCCTTCGTTTCCCCAAGATCTTGCGGAATTGGAGAGATATTGCCTTTTAGGTTGCAAAAACTCGCACGAAAATTTCAGCATCCTCGACGCTCCCTCGATGGATTTTGAGAGACTATATGTTTTCGAATGGAAGACTTCTATAGCAATTTCAATGCTGCCTGATAGTAGCAGATCTAGCTCTATCCAACCCCACCACACGCTGTTCGAAAGGTTGGGGGTGGAGGAATGGAAACTTTCATCGAGGGTGTAGATCTCAATGGTTTTGTTTTCGAGGTTTCAACAAATCTTGACCCAGGTACAAACTGCGCCGCAGCTGCGACGTACTTCTGCGACCACGTCCTCGACACGGTTCTCACCCTGGTGACGAGTCGAAGCGCTCTGCATCAGCATCAAACCCAACACGAATTGAGGTAACAGCGGTTGATAATGATGGCGAGGAAAGGACGTGTCTGGATGTATTTTTCAAGATAACTGCACCAACGCGATGCATCTATCACATCAACACACCTATCGGCTATCTTGCCCGCTACGCCGTAATCTCGTGTGTCAGGGGGCGTGAGGTATTTCGTCTGTGAGTTCACATTAGCCGCCATCAGATCACTTTGTAATTACCCAAGGCCTTCGCGCACTTCCGAGCCCCGACTACGGCACCTTTGTGTGTCTAAGGCGCCTAAGGTTGTTGCATTAAATTGGCAGCGGTTTGCAGATGAGACATATTTTCTGAGAAATATTTCGTTTTCAGATGGTTGAACTAGTGGTAAGAACCGTGGGAGAATTGAATCAGCCGAGAGTGGCAGCTGTAGCTATGAGCTGTCCGTCAGAAATTCTATTGCAAATGAACATCTATACTCCTAGTCAATTGAGGTGACTCGTATTTACTCGCATGATTGTTCACTATTGACATCAAACGTCATAAACTAGTGACAGAACAGAACTTCAATCCGACATACCTCTTGCTTATAGTGGCGTTTTTTCCCTTACCGACGCTTGTGGCTAACGCCTAGTTACACTATGTGCCGCGTGATGTACAATAGAAATGAATGCCTCAGAGAAGGGTCCTTAATAATAATTAATAACATGGCACAGCCCAATACTGAATACTGTTTCATTGCAACGAATGCAATCCAGTACTTGCTTCTTGAGTTCCGCACACGTTGCACGCAGGCACTCTTCCTTTATTTCTTCCCTGGCTTCCTTCACGACTGCTTCCAGTTACTCAAAACTGTGATGACGGACAACAGACCTCACTTTCACTCAATGACCACACTGAGAAGTGAGGTGAGGACGGACCTGGTGAAAATGATGGCCATTCTTCGGTGTGAGCGCAGACGGGCAGCCGAAAGCGGCACCACTCTTGGTGGCTCTGTGGTGGAGCGCTCTCCAGACAGAGACGTCTCAGGTTATTTCCATGATGATACTCTGACCAAACCCTCACTACGCCTGCCTCAAGTGTCCGGGTTTGTTGATATTTATGCCGAAATTGACGAAAAACCAATGGTCTCCCACCAATTAACGTGGTGTTCCTTCAAACCAGAAATTGGGCCGAGTTCGATAATCGGCAAACAATCTTCACTCGTGTATCAGCATTCCAGGCATTTCCAGCAGGAATGCAACCGTTCTGGCTATTGCGAATCCGCTCAGCTGTGGAAAATTTAGGTTCAAAAAAAAAAGAAAGAGAGATGCCTTACTGGGACAGGTGAACGACCTTCTGCATTTTTTTACTCCGACACTGGTTGGTATCGGAGATAAGATGGCACTCCGTCACATGATAGTAACGACCATGGAGCTCTTCACTGACCACTTGCCCCGCCAGCGACTTCGTTTATTCGAGCTCCAATGGGATTCTTCCAACGCAGCGTCATCGGTTGCGGTCAGTTAAAGATCGGAACGTTTCAGTCACCCTTGCGGCAGATCGGCCGGTCTTTCTCCCTCTCGCAGGCTTGTGCGTGATAGGTATTGTTCCTGCTATCGTCTGATAATTTTTCGTGTAGCTCTTGTGGGAACTTCAGGATATTTTTACGTTGTCCTTCCTTGGGGGACTTGCCTCGTGCACGCAATCAGTCGCAGGTCGCACTGGAAGACCTTCCGCCATCCTAAAGGCCGTAGGACTTCCACCCAACCAATGAACTGAATTACAAGGAGACCTTGCAGAAGTAATCGTCGGCAAATAAAGTGAAAATATTCGACTTCTTTTGCTGAATGGATTTCTGAATTTCTGTGCTCATAATCTTGGGACACCCTCTTTTAATAACACCTTGCGAAAGTTGTTTTTTAATTCAGGAAGGACTTGCTGGCGTATCATCCTGCTGGAGGGGAGATCGCTACAGCTCAAGCATACGGTCTCGCAAGAGATCTCCTAAATGTGAGTAGAGTACATTATTCGGACCAACTGAACTAAATATAGGTGTATGCAATGGACCACTAAGAGTCTTCTAATCAAGAGTAGACTCCATTTTTCGTGTAGTATTTCTCGAACTCATCAATGAATATGGTTTTCAGAGGGAGACCACTAAGGATAAGAGTGTAGTCGTGTTCTCAAACGGCCAAACTTCAACTTGTAGCATACCTTTAGCTGGAAATGAGGATGAACGCAGCACTGCCAACAAGGTAGTTTATGCATAATCTTTCAACGATTGCAAGTTTTTGTTTCTCATGATTTCGTGTTTTTCTTTTGTTCTTCTTTTTCGCAACCCATCTGACTCACAGTACGGATACAATCGCCTGAAAGCCTGTTAAAACCTTAAAAACTCATAGCACATTTTTTATGAAAGAAATCCTAACTGAACGCTAAGTTGTTCGAAGTGAAACTGCATGGAACCTTATATAGAGAATGCTCGAATCAGGAATGCTTGCTCTGATATTTGCTTGATTAGTAGGCAACTTTTGGATAGCAAACAAGTTACAGAAGCGTCGCACAATATACTACAATTTATTAGGTTATCCTGAAGCACGCCATTCACAAACTATTTTCGTCAACTATCCTATCGAATCTTGTTTATTCATTTTGCAGTTGCACAATAATAACACGGGTATTATTTACCTCCCCATCGAAAAACCCGTGAATCGATCATATTTGGACGAAATCACGCACGATCCCAACAATGTAGCCGACCCGCAAAATCTCACGGTAAGCTGGCATATTTCTTGTACTTTCAAGTCCAGAGTTTAGCTGTTAGTGTTCAGACAAAGCAGGACCCTGCCCGTTTGGAGAAAGCGAAGGACTGGCTAGTTCAGCGGCTCAATGGGACTTCAGCTACCACAACCGAGGCCTGGGAAACTACAAAGGAAAAGCATGGAACGACGCCTACAGCAGCGGACAGAACCACTGAATCCCAGGCAGAGACGCAACGTACTGGAGTGCGTGAACTCTCAACGATTGCGGAAATGCCTCAGCTTGAGGCCACAACCACAACAGAAGGAGCAAACTTAAGCGTATCACCAGTACACACCCCTTCACCCCCAGATGATGTAAGATCATCTTCAGCTTATTACTATTATTATTTTACATGGTTTACTGAGAGAAAAAGAACTTTGTGAGGCTCTCTCCTTCTTCTTTTTGGGTGGAAGGGAATTGTGAACATTTAATTGCACTCATACTTACATTGTGGAATCAGTTAATATGGGTGGGTGTCGTAAGTGCTAGTAATGGATGTAGAAAAACTAAAATGAGGCCATTATTGAGTGGACCTAAGTAGATGTCTCAAAGAGAACCAACACCACAAAAATCTGTCACAACAATGGTTAAAAGACAGAAAATGTGTCTCGAGTTTTAGAGCGCTTCTCCTACAAAGTATGGAACGACGCCTGCAGCAGCGGAGAGAAGCACTGAATCCCAGGCAGAGACGCAACGTACTGGACTGCGGGAACTCTCAACGACTGCAGAAATCTCTGAGCCCAAGGCGACAACCACAACAGAAGGAGCAAACTTGCGCGTATCAACAGATAATATCCCGTCACTCCCAGACAGTGTAAGATAATCCTTAGCTTGTGGGATAGAGTAGCCCACGAGTACAGATATTCTGTTGTCGCACTCGAAAGTGCGCGACAATAGGGTCTCACAAAGTCAACTTTCTACGAATAATCTTAACATCTGGACGAAATACGTCTTGCACACCCTACGACGCGCAACATGCGTTACGGCGTAGCTTGAAGGCAACCTTCGGGCCAGACCCATTTGGTGAGCCTTTACTGTGATAAGAAGCGCTGGGTACGTAAGTGCAGAGGTCGCTTCATTTTCTTACTTCGAAAAGCGTTACTTCGACGCTAGGGGCTAAGAAGTTTGACACGCTCCACCAGTTGGGACACGCTGCGCCCACCGCTCGATATCTTGTCTGCGTCGCTAACTTGATCTGCTATGCTCTCTCTACTCGTACTTCTCTACCACCAGCGCTCACATTCTCTCATTTCTCTGCTGCCCTTTCCAACTTCTCCGCAGCGTGAAGCAATAAGCTCGTATTTCTTGCGTAATTCATAATTCTCTTCCTTTTTTCTCCGCTGGCGCTCCACCTCCTACCTCAAGTTTCACATTTGGGTCGAATTACATCATCAATTTAATCCTGAATCTTATTATTATTTTGATTACGACGTTTAAATCGAAATTTTAACGATATTCTTCAATTTTTGCAAGTTTGTACACCTCGTTTGGCTCCGCCCTTTCTTACTTTTGAGGAGATCCCTGTTTCGGAATCCATCGGTGGTTTTCTGTTCGAGATTTAGGTTCGAGATTTCTGGCGAAATTTGAGTTTTCCCGCCAAACATGCAGCAGTACGCAAGGGCAAAAGCAGAGAACCACCATCAAAGCCTATGCGGAGACCATTATCGAGAACCTAGTCATTTATTCTAGCCATAATACTTGACACCATATAAAAACATAGTTTCCAAAAGAAGCAGGAAATTCCATTGTTTCTGTTGGTATATTTTCAGAACATAGATACAGTAGTGGCCAGAAATTTATAAACAAACGGCTTTTTCATGTTTTCTTTTGAGAGTCACTGGAACGTCTACAAACTTGCAAAAGTTATTGACTACGTGTTTTATGATTCATACAGACAACTTCAACCTTCAGCTCAAATTTGGTTCTAGAAAATTTTAGATTTCTCGAAATTAATGAAGGCAGGTGAAAGATCACTTGATTCGTTTATTTGATTTAAATAATGCATAACCCAACAGAACAGTCAAGTTAACAGTCGCTGACATTAAGCACGTCTAGCACTTTGCCCAGCACCCTCTAAAGTATCCTTCTATTTTATAAAGCGCTAACTTTGTGTGTCGGTTTGTAGGTTATGTGTGTATGTACTGTATGTATGTGTGTGTGTCGTCCGCAAAATGAAGTGAGTGAGAAGGAAGCTCATGGGGTAATCAAACCGCTAACAAATCGGGTAGCTTACAGGGTTTGAGATATCAATGCTTTGTGGCAGGATAGTTGTGATAACATTCTTAGGGTTATATAAACACCTGCTTAGCACACTTCCGTTCATTCCACATGGTGCTGCAGTGGCAGCTGGAGGGAAGTGAAGAAAAGAAGGACGGGGAGGGGAGGCGGGAAAATCTACCGCCACATTATGATTATGGCGATGCCCCCTACTACACGAAACTCCTTTTGTTGCATACGCGTGAGCTCCACGAAGTGTTGGTGTCACAGGTGGAAGGGACCACAGCGCAAGACATAACGCTTAAGCAGGAGGGAATGTCCCGGCGGTTGACGGGGGACTAATCTGGTTGAATACATAAACTGGATGCGAATGCGGGGTCAGCTAATAAACTCACTCTCTAGCGGGGTCTCTCTGTAGTCTCGTCTTTTCGTGGCACTTTCATTGACATACGAATTTGTAGATCCTCCCCTAGTGGTTCTGTAATGTTTGGCTCAAGAGTCTGGCCTGGCTGGTCTTGTAAAAGCAGCCCATGCTGTCGAAACCACTCCCGGTAAGAGGCTCGATGCTTTGAGTCGCTGCTCTGCTGAAAGACAGAGCCAGGTCGAGTGGCAGCCATGTCTGCGGATACATAACATCTTCTAGAATCTACGCCTATGCTATGTATTCCTTAGTTCTCAAAGTCTGAGAAGAGCGCACGCTGTGAAGTGGGTGGGAGTAGAAGGTGATTGACTAAGACTGAAACGAAGGTTGATACAGGTTTCTAAGGTGATCTGGAATGACAAAAACATGTTACTGATGCATTACAGCAAGGATACTTGTAATGTACGCACCACGAGAAGCTTTGTTTCGGTCCAAAGAATCAGCTGCCAGTTGTGAAACTTGGCAGAGGCTTGATAAGGTTGCTTTGGAAAAAAGTGGGACCATGTTACATGACTGAGGTAGCGATGAAAGCAGACGTTTGGTGTCATGTTTTGGAAGGTGTCATGTATCCGTAGGCGTGGCTGCCGCCCGACCTGACTTTGCCTGTCGGCAGAGCAGCGACTCAACGCATCGGGCATGCAGGAGTGGTTTCGACAGCATGAGCTGCTTTTACAAGACCAGCAAGGCCAGACTCTTGAGCCAAACATTGAAGAACCACTAGGGGAGGACCTACAAATTCGTATGTCAATGAAAGAGCTACGAAAAGACGGGACTGCAGAGAGAGACCCTACTAGAGAGTGAGTTCATTAGTTGACCCCACATTCAAACTCAGTTTAGGTATTCAATACTTTAAAGAGTACTGGGCAATGTGCTAGACTTGCCTAATGTTGGTGACTGTTTATTTGACTGTTCTGTTGGGTGATAATTAGTTATCATACGATAGTGTCTTCAACTCCTTTCTTATTCGAAAATCTGAATTTTCTAACAAATGAGTGGAGGGTGTGAATTTTCTGTGTGGATCATAACACGTATTAGTTGTTGCAACATGAGGACTGTCCAGACGTTCAAAAGGAATAATGAAAAAGCGTGTTGTTCATAAATTTCTGTGCCTTTACTTGTAGGTAGTAAATAATCGGAGAATACAACTAATACCAGGTGTCTCAAAAATTTTGACGGATATCGATTTTTTTGGCGGGCACGTACACGTATTTCGGGACGCCTTGACCGGTACTTTTGTCCGCCTTTTCTTTCTATTTTATTCACACCAATTAGTCCCGTCAAGACAGCCGGGACCTTCCTTTCCTCGCAAGCTTTCTATCCTCCGTATGGTCCTTCTCCTTGTGACACAACTGTGGAAGTGACTCGTATGCATATGCACGGTTCAGAATGGAGAAGGACCAATCATTGATATGACGGCTAGATTTTTCCGTTCCCTTCCCTTCCTCCTTCCTATGCTCCTGCCTCCAGTGCCACATGCAGCCCATGTGATGAAGGAAGCTCGTGCTAAGCAGGTTTTATATACGCCTGAGAGTCGTACTTCACCACACATATCCTGCTAACAAAATTCTATGCTCAATCTGTAAGCTTCCCGATTGTTATCGGCTTTGTCCTAATCCCATAGAGCTAATCTTCTAATCGCTTCATTTGCCGGACCATCACGGACACACAGATCAATACACCACGCCACAAACACTCAGATACACAAACCGACACACAAAGTTAGCGCTTTATAAAATAGAAGGATACTTACGTGTTCTGCGGAGGTACATGCGCGAATCACAATCAAGAGCTGGATTCAAACCGATACGTCATGTCATTTGAGAAGAGTTATCTTCAAATATCAAAGGAACTCGAAATTCCATCAAGAAGCAATCCCAAAATGTTCCAGAGAAGAACTGTACACGGGAATCAAATTTCTGAATGCGACGGGTGCCCATTGATCAGTTTGGCATTCAGCTCTACAAAACTGATAGTGATTTCACTGCAGATTGCCTGATTTCGCTTTCAAAATGAACTGTTCCCCGCATTTACATGGAATCGCAATCGTTCCTCAGAAATCTATGACCGCATCACAGCTGACTCAATGTCATCGAAATTAGCAGCGTCATCATACGATGAATGGTATGAACAGAGGTTGGACAACAATATGTTTTCAGACTTAAGCTCGTGAAATTCAACTTTTCCTCATTGTTGTTCTTTGTTTGATGAGAAGAAACTCCATGGGACGAGTAGGAAGGGATGCAACTCGTACTGGCGTGATTCACGTAATGAGCCACAAGTGATATCTCGACGGAACTTCTGCGACTCTCCTGATAGAGTGGCGAGTATTTTGTAGTGACAGGACACCTGAGATTCGAATTCTTGTAAAATGAAAAGAATTGGGCCATCAGTCACTTCTCAGTAACATGCCGATCCGACATGAGAGAAAATCTCAGCGAAAGCTACGTCTTCGTGCAATTCAACGCTTCTCTCCATTATCGCAGACTATCCCACTAACAATTCAAAAAACAAAAACTGGTGTTTCACAAGAATAGTGGGTTGTGAACAAAACTTTCGCCACGGGCGGGGCTAGAATCCGCACCTCTTGTTTTCCGTGCAAGTGCGCTACCAGTTACGCTACCTGGGCACCATTTCATTCCAACTCAGCTTTTCATGGTATACGCACAATAGCTTTCAGCACTCACACTTATAACGTGTTGAGAACGAGTAACGCGAACTGCGGCGTTAAAACAGCAGTCAACAAACAAAAGTCAAAATTCATCGCTAAAGCTTTCAGTCTCGCGATCATTGCCGATATCGGCTAACCGGCTCAACACGTTATATGTGTGAGTGCTGAAAGCTATGGTACGTATACCATGAAAAGCTGACCATGAGTTGGAATGAAATGGTGCCCCGGTAGCGTAACTGGTAGCGCACTTGCACGGAAAACAAGAGGTGCGGATTCTAGCCCCGCCTGGGGCGAAAGTTTTGTTCACAATCCAGTACTCTTGTGAAACATTCGCAACGCGGACTGCAGCGTTAAAACAGCAGT